GTGTGTGTGTGTGTGTGTGTGTGTGTGTGTGTGTGTGTGTGTGTGTTTTTGTTTGTTTAAGATCTTCCTTGTGAGACCATTTAAAAGGACACTTTCTAAAAGAACAGATGTAGAGTTCTGCAAAACCTCAAATGGCTCATGTACTCTGGATTCACAACACAGCAAGAACAAAGGGAAAATGTTGCTCTATGGTAATGTGGCATGCACACTTAACTCTGACAAAGTAAACCTTCCAAAAAGGTTGAGCGGAAAATAACCCTAAGACACTGTGTGGATGAGCTTCAACACCTCCCTGGAATCAAGCCATGTGCCATCCTGCTTTAAGTCCACCAATAATGTCCTTTGTTAGCAAGAAGCCACACATTACAGGACTTAACGACAACATATCTGTGACGATCTGTAGTCATGAAGTCCTATTAGCGCCTCGTCCTCACCCAATTTAGTGAATCAAAAATCCCCTCCTGGACCTGCAGCAGGTCACCTATGGACCAAACTGGTCCGAAGATGATACAGTCAACCAGGCCCTCTAACTCATACTGCAACAGCTAGACTCCCTAGAAACGACACCAGGATCATGTTGTGGAGTTCAGCTCTGGCTTTAACATCATCCTCCGAGCTCTACTCTAGGACAAACTGTCCCAGCTCAAGGTGCCCAACTCCATCTGTAGGTGGATCACAGACTTCCTGACGGCCAACATGCAACATGTCCGGCTAGGGAAGACTGTCTTAGACACAAAGAACATGAGCACCAAGACCCCCCTGGGCTGTGTACTTTCTCCCTGGCCTTTTTTTTCCTATCCCACAACTGCTCCACACTCAACCATCGCTACATAAAACTGATCAAGTTTCCGGACGACACGACCCTAATTGGGCTTATCCTAGATGGTGATGAGTCTGCCTACGTTTTAATTGGCGTCAATTATACGCTGACTATTCGCAGGTCGCCCGGTCACAGTCCCAAACAAATAGCAGCGTTCCAATGTAACGCCATTTTTCCACCGAGACAACTCAACAGAATTCGAACTGGAAGCAACTTTTGCAATGGCAAAAAAAAAAAAGTACTATTAAGTACTATTTCACAGAGCCCTTCCATTGCAGTTCAAGGTAGTTGGGCAGGTCAGGAGATAGGTGAGGAAAAAAAGAACATTTCATGCAAACCACACCGGGCACACAAAGTATAATAATATAATAATAAAGTATAGTTGCAGGCAACTTAATAACTTTTATAGCATAAATCTGAGTCCTTCCTCCAGAGCGAGTTGACTTAATTATGTTGACTGTCAGCCAAATACCCTGACATCCTGCTATTATTACGCAAGTGAGTGCCAAACCGAATAAGGTGACTCAGACGCATTGGCTAGGTAATTCTCAGTTTCGTATTTGCTGGAGAATGAAGGGTGGGGTAGTGAGGGGTTGCATTACATTTTAAAGAGAGATGCTCTAGCCTCGATAACAAAGCTTTCAGGACCAGTCAGGAAGACTGCACTCTTGTCTCAGCCGAAAAAAAAAAGGGAAATACTAATTAAATACAAATGAAATATATATATATAGCAGTAGAAAATGGATGGATGGATGGATGGATGGAAAAAAATATATATGACAAAAAAAAACATCACGAGCAACATCATGACCAAACAAAATCAATTAAGCTAATTTCCCAAATAACACCAGGAGGACAGGAAATGTAACCATTAGCTCACTCCAACAACACACAGTGTACATAAGGCGTGGAAAAAAAAGTAGTGTGTTTCCGGTAACCCGACCGACCGAGAATTTCTACCTCGAAAAAAAACTTTTCAGTCTGCATTTTTTTCAAACAGCCTTCAAATTTAACACACGTCATCATTAGTTCGACCAACAGTTAACATTAGCATTACTACACCTTGTGACGAATGTTTTATTCATAAAGGTACCATGCTACAACCAGTAAATTATTGAATAACCAAAACTGTTTCATAATATTTTTCATAGCGATTAGCCTACAAATCTAATGACCAACTTGCCTCGTAATCGTGCCTCTCGTCGTATCTCGCTCTCGTGTTCTGTGCATACATCCCAGGTGAGTTTAGTGATACGCCCTTTGGACGATTCATACGAAAAATCAGACTGGCATTCCCATTTCTTAAATGTCGTAATTAGTAGACATTTGTGAGTTTTTTTCACCGCCATCTCAAACTTTCATCCGCGCGATTCCTCGGTTTGCGGACTAAAATAGCAACCCGCATGCGCACATAACGTTATCTGTTGCGTCCCCCCCAACACTGAAAACAAAACAAAACGAAAGTAAATTAGAAGAAACACACTCACACACCACACCACAAACACACATAGAGGCACAGTGAAATCGCGTTGATCACATAGTCAAGTCATGTGCGGTGACTTTAATGGTAAAACTAGTTTTCGGTACCGTTAAAATGACGCCACGGAAACGACACGCTACCGGTAACTATTGTTACTGTGAAATCCTCAGGCTTGCCGTAGTTTTTTTTTTTTGTTTGTTTGTTTTGACTGAAAAATTTCCTTGCGTCCCAAAAACGCACATTATTTGGAACTGTGCGTCCCATGGGAAAATTATGCGTCGAGGACGCGGGACGCAGAGGTAACGAGATGGCTGTAACACCCAGCCGCCGGGTACCCAACTCTCTCGCCGCCTTTGGTGGGCGAGTGGGGGTTTCAATGTCTCCTTGTTTTATGTTTTATGGTTATTTTGTTTACATTTTTGATGGGGGGGGGGGGGGGGAAAGATTAAAAAAAAAAAAAAAAACTTTGTCCGACCTACCGACCCTATGCTGAAATTTCATGTTACCGGAAACACACTACTTTTTTTTCTACGCCTAACAAGTATATTTCACCGTTTAAGAACAGATTTTGCTGCTGTTCTGATCAATTCAGCTCAAGCGTAAACGACACACAAAGACATAGATCAGCATTTCGTGTCTTGCTCAAGGAGATGGAGTTAAAGTTGCGTTTCAGGTACTCAACATTATTTACTTAGTCCTACTTTCGCCGGTTTCTGATCAAATAGGAAAGATCCAAAAGTGGGAAGACAGGAAAGGATGTCAGCATGGTGCATACAGACTGCATTATAAACAGGGTAATAACAAGAGGCAAATGAAGCAGCGATGGCCCAAGCAGAGCTCAGGTGAGTGAGAGGAGGGGTGACAAAGGAAGAGTCACAAGGATCAGAGGAAGCCTTAAAAGCTGACTCCCATAGGCAGGATAAAGGGATCTCAGTGTGGCAGCTGAGAAGATGAAACACCATTTGGGGCCTGGGCTCCCCCACTGCCTCGCCTCTGTGTTCAGGGCCTGTGAGCTCTTCTGCCTCTGAAGTACTCCCCCCGCCACCCTCCCCCGACCCCCTTCGGCCTTCCTGCTTCACGACCTCCTCCACCCCAACGCTGCACACCTCCTGCCATTTGGCGACCCAATGAAGCTCTGCTTACATGCATATGGTAAGGTGATGTTGGTACTTTACACCACAGATTTTGAGACAATAATTAATCAATGCTTTTGCAAATTAATAGTCAGGAAGTCATTGGAGATGCAGGGCATCTCATTAGGGGAAAAACAAGCTTTGTGTCCTGCAGGGTGGAAATCAACATGAAAGCATCTCCGCTCCTCTGCAAAGCTCAGGATGACCTCTTCAAACAGCACAATTCACCAAAGCCGAGGAAAACTGCATTAATTACTGATTCGTTTTCTATTTAAAATCAATGAATCCATCTTCAAAGCAGTCTCAGCTTTTGATTGTGCACTGAGTCATCAATTGATTATATCAGCTAAAACCGAAATGTTTTTACAGATTTTTAAAAAGCACATATTGCATATAAATATATAAATGTGTGTGGTTTTCAAATGTTTCTATATTTAAAATCTGAGTTCACGTGTGAAATCCGGGATGCTTGAGTATCAAAAATGTCAAATCAATTACCTTTTATCAATCAGTATCATCCACTGCTTGGATCTACTCAGAAATAAACCAATATGCCCGATTATTGTATGCATTGGCAGCACAGCCACCCAAACAGCAGATAATATTGCAGTTGGCTGTGAATGTAATTTTTAATTTGCCAATTTTTGGGGGTTATTTTGGAGACAGCAAACAGCGCTGCAGATTGAATTAACATAAATGGGATGGGCAGCCCTCCACATTTCAGACAGGACCACATATACTCCACGGACATTTGATTAGGTACACGATCTAATATGACTGATTCAGAGCGCTGTGTAAAACATTCTGTCTTGACAAATTAAAAACAAAAACAGCAAATTAGCATTATGTGTGCTGTTGTGATTGCGTTTTCCTGTTTCGTAGAGCAATGTTGCAGTGAGAAGTTTTAATTGTATTTGTATGGGATCTCGCATGTACGGGCAAATGTAAAACAGCATGCAATCATTTAATACACTTGTTAATGTAGTGACTATAAACTGTGTTAGATGACATATTTTAGATGATGATTGATCAAACAAATTCACTCACATACAGCATGCGCATGTGTTGTCAAAATTATGCTTTATAAATTAACTAGCAAACCAACGGAGTACCCCCCCCCCCATCCCCATCAAACACACACGCCGCTGACACCTAAATTGACAGGGTATTTTGGGCGTATATTCTTGATAAATTAAATTGTCAACAACGCTCACAAATCGGACTGTTCTAGCATATGCTTGCATGTAGGCGCTGATGTGTAGCGCAGAGATACTTTTGGGGACTTGTGGGGTCGAAGAGAAGCTCCACTGTGTTGATGGTCAACATAAACACGTCCGACTAACTTCAAAGCTCACGTTGGGCTTGCTGTTTAGGAGCAACCGTACGTTTCTGTCATCACGTCGCATCACTAATATAACAGTAGTTTAGAGACAAAACGTTTCCCCTCTTTGTTTTTGTTTGTTAACCTTGTTATGCCAGGTTTGGGGCTGCTCCGCCCACTCCAAAGTGGCACAAGTAGTCCCCACAGGTTTTCATGAAAGCCAAACGACAACAAAATTCTATTTACCTGCATAGTAAAGACTCCAAGCTCTTGAGTGGACAGCTTCTTTATCTGCTCGGAGAGAACTTGGGTTTCTTCCAGAATGGAAAACTCCGTGTCGGCTCGACAATATCCCCAAGAAAGAGCCGAGCACATAAAAGCGAAGCTCCACAAACGAGCCGACAAGCTCCCGCGAAGACGGAGCAGCGCAGCCCGGAAAGGAGCGCGTCGTTTCGGCGTCAAAGCCCAAGTACTGTGCCTGGTCCGCCTCTCCATGATGGTCGGGAAACCTCAAAGCGGACAAGCACCGAGTGTGAGCGAGAAGAAGAGGGGAACTACTTTTTTTTCACAACTTTGTGCTGTGTTGTATGTGTGGCCTTTCCCTCACGGATGACACTCCGAAATGCCTGGCGACGCAAACCATTGCCCTTCTTCGAATTCCCTGAAGAGAATAAAATATATCCATGAGTAGAAGAGAAGTATTTCTTCAAAAAAGCTTGACCTCCCAACTCGAACTCCAGAAGGGCTGGCAGCGTGTGTGTGTGTGTGCGTGTGCGTGTGTGAGCCCGAGATTCTCCACAATAGGGGTGAAAGTAGGGGGCGTGGAAACTCGGGAGTCCTACAGACGTCCGGAGCAGAGATCAATGGATCGACGTGTAATGACGCCTTCATGAACAGCTGGGAAATCTTTCATCAGCATAAATGTACTTGTACACCGATACAACTTTGTTTTGTCCATGTGTTTTTTTAAAGAACAAACTATTGCAAATATTTAACCAGGCGCGTCACGCAGCTATTCAGTGTATGCCCTACATTGATAACTATTGTTCTAAATGTGTCAAAAAAAAAAAAAAACTAAACATTAACATCATTTTGTTTTACATTGTAGCTGAGTGAGATAAAACCTAAACGTCGCTCTTATGAGCCATTTTTAGACATGGTATTATATATTAATGTAGCATTGTTGTCATGATATCATAAGTACTCACGCTCCAAAATGGGTATTTTGCGGTTAAAAAAACCCTTCCCCTCTTTTGCCTCCAATTTTAATTTAATTATTCGTTTAAAACGTATCCCACCGTGACAAGAATAGCCTATCAGAGTGATATATTGACTGTACCAGTGGGTAGAACTGTTGCTTTGCGTCTCACAACTCTCTTGAGCTATCTTGGAACCTCAGAAAGGTCATTCCTGTCTTCTTTTGTTTGGACTGTCCTCTAATTGACAAATATTAAAATTGAATTAGATGAATAAAATTGAAGTTGCTGATGGTGGAGTGGTGCACTCCCCTTACTTGTATGCGGGCAGAGTGGGATCGGTTCCCTCTCAGTGGTGTGGATATGAGTGTGAATGGTCATTTCTCTCTATATGTCCTCTGCGACTGACTGGCGACCAGTTCACAGTGTAGTCTGCCTTCTGCCCGAAGTCAGCTGGGAGAGGCTCCAGTAACTCCCTGTGATCCTCTTCACGATAAGGATGGATGGATGGGATCAAATTGAGGCCAGAGAGAGTTGTTTTTTCAAAGATCATGTTCTTAATATTCTACTGTCATGTAATACAGATTTAACGTAGATGACCAAAAGTGTATCTATGTGTTTGTGTGTGTGTGTGTGTGTGTGTGTGTGTGCGCGCGTGTGTGTGTGTGTGTGTGTGTGTGTGTGTGTGTGTGTGTGCGCGCGTGCGTGTGCGCGCGTGCGTGTAAGTGTGCGTGTGTGTGTGTGTGTTTTAAACTGGAAACTCAGAAAAAAACTACAGTAAAAATTCAAGGAGTGATTGAAATACTTAATGGGGAAGTCAAGTAAAATATGTATTTACAATAATATGTTGTATGCGCCCCCACTAGTCTAAACATGGCATTCTCATTCATAGTGCATTTGTGGAAGATCAATTAAGCAGCAAAATCCATCCATTTTCATCCATCTCATGGAGTGGCCACTTTTACTTGCTGTTGCCTGAAAATGACATCACAATACCTAAACTTTAGACACTGTGATGTCATTTCAATCCACTGGGTCCATTCCGTGGCCAGTTCGTACTGGTAAGCTTCGTGAGGGATGAACACAAGACCAAAACGCAGACACAATGAACTCAGAAGGGTTTTATTTCTAGGAAGTAGGACAGGTCGAGGTGGCAGGAAGAGAAGGGTAGTCAAAATGACCAATTCAAGGAGTACAAGAATGCAGCAGCGTAACAGCTTGGCAGAAGCAAGTAGAGCAGGAAAGATCACTGATGAACTGGCAACGGGTGGCTGTCCAGGCTGGCTTTTATGCTGCAAGTGGCTGAATGAGATGAAGACTCGCAGGTGTGTAGGGGAGGCAGGTGCACTGATTAGGAAGGCGTCCAGCCCACACTGAAAAAGGGAACAAAAACCAAAGGGTGGGGCGACACCATGAACAAAGGATTCTAACACTGGGGTTCGCTCGAACCCAGGTTAAGAAGCACCGCTCTAGAGGGTTGTGGGTGAGTTGGAGCCTTGTGCGAGAGGTGAGATACACCCAGGACTGGTCGACAGCCAGCAGGGTACATGCAGACAGACAACCAGTCACATTCATGAATAGTAGAGCGTCTTCAATGCACCTAACAAGCATGAAAGCTCACATAACTAGAGAGAGAACATGCAAGCTCCACACAGGAAGGCCTGAGCTTAAACTCGAGGCAGATATGCTAAATAACCCACTGTAGGGTTCTACAACCATCACTAGTCTAAATTATCAATTACTATATGTACTGTGTGCTGAAATCACGAACTCTTTTGAACTCCATTCAGAGTCCTTTGTGGTTACCTTAATTAGCAGTATGATCCAACACTGCTTTTCACAAAAGACTTTCATAAACCTATTCAGAACATAAGACAGATGCCGTCAGAGAGGTAATGCTCAATACTATTGTCTTTGTAAAATCTTCAAGTTTGATACGTTTGTTTGTTTGTGAGAAAAATAAAATTTTGAGTGCATAACAAGAACATAAATATATGCACATTGTGGTGACTATTTTGCAGAAAGTGTCTCCCACAACAGTGACCTCAACTTTCATGACTTACTTTGTGTCACCAAATTGTGTGGTGCGCTGGTGCATGTGATGGAAAATGTTCTTGGTCTGCTGGAACGCCCAGCAAGGTGCAAATTCCCAAACATAGTCACTAGATTTTACCCGTAACGAAAATGAAAATACACCATTTTTTTCCCCCAGAGCATGTGTCCCTGTCAACTAAAATAGCGGGCTTAATCTTGAAAATTTTCAATTTGGATTACTGTATGCTCATACCACAGCGCAGCCAAAATACACTTTGAAAATACTACTCTTCGCTTACTGACTGGCATCTCTCTCTCTCTCTCTCTCTCTCTCTCGTACTCTCTTGCTCTCTCTGCTGCCAACATCCAAACAAAGTATTTAATTTCATTACACAGAACGTGAACTGTCATCAAGAAAGACACAGGGATTGTTGTCACGGGATTAACCCATTTGCATTATTTTAATTAGAGCATACACTTACAAAGCCACCTGGTTTGGAAAGATAAAGGGGAGCAGAGAAAGAAAAAGTAGGGCTGATGAGTCCAAAACTCAAGAAATTAGGACACAACTGTACTTATTGAGCTGCAGGATGAGATGATGTGAGCTCTTTTCATAGCCAGAAAATAACAGACTTTGTGGTTTCACAGGTGGCTTTAAAGTATTCGCCAACTGAAGGATATGTATACTAATATATATATATATATATATATATATATATATATATATATATATATACAGAGAGCGAGAGAGAGAGATAGTTCTTCTCATCCTATATACATTTATATATATATATATATAGAGAGAGAGAGAGAGAGAGAGACATACATACTGTACATACATACTGTACATACATTCATTCATTCATTCATTTTCCAAACCGCTTGATCCACAATAGGGTCGCGGGGGGTGCTGGAGCCTATCCCAGCTGTCTTCGGGCAGTAGGCGGGGGACACCCAGCCAATCGCTGGACACACACAGACGAACAACCGTCCACGCTCACACTCACACCTACGGACAATTTGGAGTGTTCAATCAGCCTGCCATGCATGTTTTTGGAGTACCCGGAGAAAACCCACACCGGCCCGGGGAGAACATGCAAACTCCACACAGGTTCAACTCCAGCTCCGGCCTTCTGTGTGGAGTTTGCATGTTCTCCCCTTGCCGGCGTGGGTTTTCTCCGGGTACTCCGGTTTCCTCCCACATTCCAAAAACATGCATGCAAATCCACCAAAGCCCTGTTCACACGGCACACATTTGGTCCGACGCTGCACTGAAATATTTTGTTGCGATATATTTTACACCGGAGCAAATTTTGTGGAGCGGTCACACGTGCAAAGCCGCTGAGCGTGACAGCTCCGACGCAGCGTCGGAGCAGCTCCACTTGCGGTCACACGTGCAGTGTCTGCTGCGGACCAAAACGACAGGAATGCGGAAGTAAAACAGGTTCGGGTCGGGGGGGGGCG